GTGCAGGGGGCTGTAGCAGGAGCGGCCGGTGCTGCCGCGTTCGGTGCCAGCACTGCGCCGGCAGGTCAGTGGTGCGCGGGTTCAAGCGTACACAGGGTTTGCAACTCGTGGGGTGAAGTGAGTGCCCAGCGGTGGCTGCGCGGTGTCACGGTGACAGGGTAAAAAAGTCCAACCTGGAAGTTGCTCGTGGTTGTGTGAGGATCCAGGCAGAGGTGCAGGAGGTGTAGGCAGGGCTGAAAGAGCTGCCATCTGCCTGGAGGGGCTGCACAGCTTCGGTGCTGTCCCCGGACACAGGGCCATGCCTCCTCACGTGGTGCATGGAGGAGAAAAGTCTAGAAGGAAGAAACATGAATGTCAGTAAGTGAGAAGCCTGAGCCATTCCCAGCAAAAATACCCTGTAAAAATGCAACATGTTAGAGACCCCACAGTGGAAAGCAACTCAATTCCCTGATGGTGGACAGCGTAGAAGCTCGCTGTACACGTGCTGGTGAATCAGGCCTGCTCATAGGAGCTGCCACATAGTCAACACTGAAAATGTAGTTGATGTCAGCACGGTAGATTTTTGCACTGCTGTGTCCGCGCCACCTTCAACCTGTTCGTTCTCTTTCTAGTGCTGCTTGGAGAACAAAACACGTTTCTGCACAATTGCTCGTAACACTGTGTTCAGCACATACATTCCCCCTGAAAGCCTCGGTTCAGGAGTGGTTTATATCCCCATCGCATCTCTTCTTGCGCTGTATCCCATCTCTCTGCATTTAGTTTCTTATACACAGAAGACAGACTGTCAGACATGTCAAATGGCCCCTGTTAGGAAGCTGCTGACAGCCCTTTTGCTTTTCTGTTCAGGACGCTCCGGGAGGATCTTCTCTGCAAGGGCTGTGTGGGAGACATCCGCAGGGAGAGAACACCCTTTTGGGACGTACTGGTTGGGGCAAGGCTTATGCTGCAGGTTTTACTCAGGAGCAAGAACACCACCGAGGCAGAAGAATGGAGCGCCTGGCCTCCTTCAGTAGTAAGTACCATAGGATGGCGTTTGGAAAAGACTTGCCATTGTTTAAAGACATTAGAGGTCGTCTAGGGGAGGGAGACAGAAAACTAGCAATATCTGGTCCACAGGGTCACTTCTTTGATCGAATTCTCAAGAGCGTGAGTACATGAATGGTTCAATGGGAATTTGGGTCCTTTTTCTGTCTACTTTTTATAGTTGGGCTAGTTTAAATCCATTTTCATGGAAAAACATGGCTTATAACTTGACAGTCTGTTTCTTTTGACTGCTTCACAGTGAACAAAAGAAGAAAAACTTGCAGCGCAGTGTTTCATTCCTTGTTCAGCAATCTGAGCAGTCCGGGGTTTGGACAGGCTGCAGAGCAATCTTGTTGGTGCCTTTGCAACCACAGCAATACGCTTTAGGAGTCTGACTTGAGGTGGATGGATGGGAGACTGCAGCCCTCTGCGCAGTATTCTCCACAAATAAGGCCTTGGGTCTGGTTTTGGTGCAGAACGCAAGTGTGGGCGCTGGATCAAATCAGCCAGCTAGCACAGCTCCTGGCATCGCTGCTGAGCGGTCCTGGGAGGCTGCGACAGAGAAGATTGTCCTTTGAGTCGCTGTACAGGTTTAGGTTTAGCCCTCAGTGTATCAGGTCTAGCAGGGATGCAGTGCCAGCGTCTCTCTTGCAGCTCCAGCCGAACCAGGAACTTCTAACAGATATTTGGAGAAGCTGCAGTAGGAAAGAGGTTTTATACAATTGAGTTCACTTAAAATTACTGGGCACAAGTGAATTTAGGTGATTGCAAAAACGGTGCCTTGTTTGTGTTGCATGAGATTTTACTTTTGGCTTCACAGATGACCCTTTTGATAAGCCTCCGTGCCGAGGTTGCTCTTCGTACCTCACGGAGCCCTATGTTAAGTGTGCTGAGTGTGGGCCTCCTCCCTTCCTCCTGTGTTTGCAGGTGAGTGCAAGGAGAAAAGCAAAGGCATTAATTTCTTTGAGAAAGTCATCAAAGGCCTGGCTGGTGCCAGGCTGTTCCATAAACGCATTAATAACTGGTCCCTGTAAACTTGTATCAACACACTTGTTTGCTCAGGGACAGGGAAATGACAAAGAAAATGTTGGAGGCTGAAGAACTGAGGCAGGAGCAGCTGCAGGAGATTTTTGTGAAGGCAGCCAAAGCTACCTAAAGACATGAGCCGGAGCTACCTAAAGACATGCAGTCAGCCTGACTGTAATGGAGCGTGCCACTGCATGTCTAGGGAGAGATTGTTTCTGTCATTTTTTATGGCGTGGAAGAGAAAAGCCATCAAGAAACACCCTTTCCCTGTCACGACACGTTTTTTTTCCTCACAAATGGAAAAGAAAGTTTGGGGAAAGTTTGCAAGACTGACAATAATTGTTTGTGACCAGTTCTTCAAAAATTATGTGTGTGATCTGATAACCACAGGACGTACTGCTAGTCTTAATCATTAAATAAATAAATGTGCATTATTCATGATTAAAAAATGTCACTAACCTCTAAAACTGTAAAAGGAGCTTGGCCTTGTGCTCAGATATGTACAAAATACACAAAAACATATTTTGTATGTTGGGTATATTTTTGTTCGTCTACCTGTACTTAAAAAAACAGAAATTTAACTGTTACAAATAGCTGCAAACCATGCTGGTGCTTTTTAAACAGAAACCCCAAGGTTGAATGGAAACTGTGTTTTCAATACTTAAGAAATGCTCTGTGCTCTCTTCCTGGAACAATCCACTCTAAAACATACCACCAAGCTTCTTTCACCTGCTGATCTTTGCCAGAAATACTTGAAAAACTATGTCAGTTCACAGGAGTTATGTCTTGGTGCAGTGGTGCGAAAGACAAGTAAGATACAAAGGCAGATTTAACACAACTTTAACCAAGATTTTTCTACCGTTTTATGTTTTTTTTCTAAAACGAAATTAGAAAAATTGAGTATCTTTTTCAGCATATCAGGTGATCGGTTTTGGATACCCAGTGGTCTGAGAATGAAAGGAAAAGAGACCAGTTAAAATGTTTTCAGGGCAGAAGTAAGACACTAACGTAATGCTAATCTTTTGTTCTACAGTGTTTCACACGAGGATTTGAATACAAGAAACATCAGAGTGATCACACTTACGAGATAATGGTAAATATTCCTTTTAGATACCACCTCCCTAATCTTGAGCTTTCGTAACTTCCAAGCAGTTAGACCTTTGCTTACTAATATTACACTGAAAAGTGAAGTGATATAATTCTTTGATTCAGACGTTTAGAACTACTAAAAAAAGGAAAAGTCTTTCTTGAAAGCAAAGAAAAATATCCACCTGGAACGTAATGGAATGCTTTTTTTACTGTGCCTAGATAGCACAATGCATCTCACTAGACTTGCAGCTCATTAACCATGTGAATCAACTCCTGTTTCTCTATTCTTGTTCTTTCTTCTCCCAAATTAATCATTTTTGAAGTCTTCTGTAAATTTTATTGTTTCATAGCATGATTGTTGCATTATTGATGGTAGATACAAAATGTAACGGTATATTCAGATCTGCAACCACAAACTAGTTTTTACTGTAGTTGATGACCCAATGACCTAAATAATTCAACAATTATTTGGTCAGGTTTCACGGGACACAGTAAAAATTTAAAACTACTGGTAGTACATACTGTGTTGTCCTGTAGTTTAGAACTTTTGTTCTTCATGTGGTGGATTCTAACAGAGGATCACAGCAGTGTGATTTGCTGTTTTCCTTCTCCAGACTTCTGATTTCCCTGTCTTGGATCCTAACTGGACAGCTCAAGAGGAAATGGCTCTCCTGGAAGCTGTGATGGACTGTGGATTTGGAAACTGGTGAGAATTTAAGTGGTTCAGCCAACTTCAGTAAATGATGGGTAGTTTTTCGTTTCACTTGATCTTACTGTTGAATACATCAGAATATTCAGTTGATTTATTGTGAGACACTTAATTTATCAGCTAAAGTGGAAGACTGGGGTAGCAGATTCTGTTTTCGGATCTGCTGTTAGAAACCTGAGGGAGTTGTTAAAGGCTTCTTGTGAGGTGCAGGACACCTCCAGCAAAGTACAGCGTTCCCCGAGTTCTCATTAAAGTCACTAGGTATCCAAGGAGCTCAACAGCATTTTCTGTGCCTCAGTTTACTCCTCTGTAAAAAACAACTGCAGAATTTCTTATCTCGCGTGGGTTCGGTTTGCTAACAGCTGACTAGTTAGGTATTGCTATTTTTGCAGGTTTCCTGCTTCTCTGTCGTATTTAGGATAGAGCACTGGAAAAATCTTATTATTTTTCCACGTTCTGTTAAGTTAATTTCTGGAGTTGCTACAGGAGTTTTATGCATTTGTAAATAAAGGAGATCTGTAGCCATGACTTAATGTCTCTTCTCCTTCATGAAAAAATAGCTGTATTAACAGTACGGAGCTCCAGACTTCACTGAAACAGAACTAGGAGTTCTCATGCATACATTGCTGTCGTAATTAACTGCAACCAGTTTGCAGTCTTATGTTCTGCAAGTATGTTGTCTAGTACACTTTGTCCTACTTAGCAATACAAGTAATGTTAACTTTTTCCTTAAACACTTGGCATTTTTCAGCCTTTACCAAATAAAGGAAAAACTGACTTTTTTTTTTTTTTTCCTGGAATCCCTTGCATCCAATTCTGAGTTTAATAGAAATTAAAATGATTGCTGGTGGTGGATTTTTAAAATTTTTTTTTGTCCTCAGCTTACACGGCCATTTCATTAAGACAAAATGCTTCGTATTTCTAGTCAACTACTTTTCCAAGAAGGTTTGGCAGAGATTTCTAGAATGTATTTTGTACAACCGTTTTGGTGTTTAGAAAAAACCTGTTTAACGTTGCTACATGAAAGAGGAAACCACTAAAATTGAAAGAGAAACTTTAGAAGCAGAATGCAATTGTGGACTTAGAATTTACCATTACCTGGAATTAGTAAAATGTATAAAAAGCTCGCAAATAACAATACTAAATTTAAAGCACCTACAAGATTTAGTGCATCCCATCAGCCAGGGAGTTTCTCGTGTAAAGACAGTGAATTGCATTACTCGCGACCACCAAAAAGTGCTGCCCAGCACTGTACCAAATATCTAGTTTCTTAGAAGACCTCTTACTTATTCTAACCTCTGTTAGTTTATCAGGGTAGGTATTGATACAGGCAGCAAGTGTTGGCTCAGTATTAGTACACAAAATGTGAATTCAGGCATCATTGCAGAGCAGTTCTCTGTACAAAACACGATCGATTGCTTGTCCAAAATTATCTTTTTGCACTAGAGAAAGACAAAACCCTGAAGATTTCTGTGTTCTTCATATTAAGCCTCCCCTTCTCCCCACTTCAGGCAGGACGTAGCGAACCAGATGTGTACCAAATCCAAGGAGGAGTGCGAGAAACATTATATGAAACACTTTATCAACAATCCCTTGTTTGCATCCACATTACTGAACCTGAAGCAGGCGGAGGAGGCGCAGCACAACGAAACAGCCATTCCTTTCCACCGTGAGTATCCCCTGCCCGCCAGCACCCGCAGGGAGCCTCCCCACAAGGTCTCTGCTCTTCCAAAACTGGCACGAGCTGCCTTTGGAGAAGGGCAAGCACCACACATGCAGTTTGCTTTTGTTTCCAGGAGAGCTTGTTCTAATGGCTGACTTGAATAACTATAGTAGTAGGGTTTTATTCACACTGTGTTAAATCATTGGTGTAATCAAATAGACAAGACTGCCAGTTCAGCGGGAAAAGGGAGGGAGTGGAGTGATCAGGTTCTCAAAACCAGAAGTTCCTGCTCAGCCAGTGGGAATGGTCACTCACAGAAATCACCACAGCAAAAGCCTGGCTGCACATGGACAAACTACCTCAAAGCCACTTCACATGTGGCACGGTGCAACAGCGTGGCCTTCAGGGCAAATACCAGTGTGAGTCCTCACCCTGATGCTGGTTCCGTTCCTTGTCCAGCAGTGTTAACCGAGAAGGGATTTCTACCTTTAGAACATTTCATCTGTGTACCGGGCCTGACTGCTGATGTGATTTGTGATAAAATCATTCCCTTTAAACTATGCGGATTTCACACCTCTATCTTTAAAACTGCCTTTGAAAAAGTGTATGTTAAATTTCAGCAATTTAACAAATTTTCACTTTTCCTTAAATTTAACATCTTTAGAATTCCCCCAGTCTAGTAGCTGTTCCATTATAAAGCTCCCCAGAATGGCTGGGTAAAAAGATTGCTTGGTATCTGGAGGTTTCGATTTCACAATAAAGTGGTTAGAGCTAAAGCTGTAGGAACTGGACAATTTTGGTTCTGTCCCTGGCTGTCATTGATTTTTTTATGTGACCCTGGGCCAAGACAAATTCTCTGTGCCTCATCTTGCTTTATCTGTAGCGTGGGACTTAAACTGCTTAGCTCCTTCACGAGTGTGTTGTGAGCCTCGGTCCATTATTGTCTGTAAAACACCGAGCTCCTCAGCTGGGAAGTGCTGTAAAAATTCAGAGTTGTATAGCTTTAATTGCAGCGCTCTGTAAATGGCACCCAGAAGATGGCAGATTTAACACCGCTGCTGCTATTAACTAAAAGAACTTGCACGCTGAGACTGAGTGATCTGCAGAGGTTTACTGAGGGGATGCTGAGCTCTGAAATGTAGAGTTTACGTTTTATAACCTATTTATTACCTTGAATTTCTGTGTTTGAGAGTACTGTGAAGATCTCAGATTACTGCATTTTTCTCTGGATGAACTTGGGTCTTTTTCTGAATGTAATGCTGAATAAAAGCCCAGTAAGGGTGTTTTTCTTCAACAAATTATTCCCAGGTTTCCTGCAAAAGAAACATCTCTTTACAGATCGTTAAAAAAAGACCCCAAGCACTACACAACCACTAAAAACCTTGATTTTTTTTTTTTTCAGCTGCTGATGATCCCCCACGGCCTACTTTTGATTCCTTGCTCTCCAGGGATATGGCTGGGTACATGCCAGCGAGAGCAGACTTTGTTGAGGTAAGACTCTCTCTTCTCCCGTTATTTTAAATTCGCTACTGAATGCAAGATTAGCGAACGCACACTTGTTTGCCCCTGCCTGTAGCTCTTTACTCCTCATAGAAAAACCCTCAGAAGAGAGGACAGGGCCGAGTGATTAATCCAAGGGTTTAATTGCAGAGGTGGCGCTGCGAGCCTGCGAAGCTGCTCCCGGCGCGGCGTGCGGGCTGTGAGGCACGCTGCTACCACCAGATGTCCAGTCCTGAATGGCTCTTATGTAAGCAGGCTAGATGTTGTGAATTAGATGCTCAGCAAAAGGGGTCAGCTTCAGCACGCTTCTGTTTCTTTCGCCGTAGAGAAGCACATGGGGAGCCCGATCCAAGGATGGCTTGAAAGACCTGCATTGTTTTCAGTGGTTTTAGCTGTGGGCCCAGCGCCCCAATTCCTGTTGCAAAACAAGCTCCTGTACATGAAGTAATGAATTCAGCCATATATAGGGGCTTGGTTTTGTACATTTGAGCAGAATTTCCACCACAGTGCGGGAGATTACTTGATTAATTCTCCTTATCCTGTCACAGCATCCTGCTCCAGTTCCAGCCATGGGGGTGCATATTACACATTCCCTAGTGAAAGCTCCCCTGTCGTGTATGTTGCTCAAGGTTGGAACCCTGTACAACTGTGTGCGAGTAAATATCTCTTTTCAGTATTATGTATACTGAAACTAGATCCCGATTTTTTAGTGCAAGTTAGTGACAATTTACTAATCACCTCTAAACAGGAGTTTGACAACTATGCTGAATGGGATTTGAGAGATATTGATTTTGTAGAAGATGATTCAGACATTTTGCATGGTAAGTCCCATATTTTTGTACACTGTCTGAAAACAATGTTTCCAGAGCGCCTACACAGCATTTCATTGGGTCTCTTTTTACTCTACACAAGTTTTAAAAAGCGAACATACATTTTTAATGATCTCACTTCTGTGCGCTGGGGTTTAAACACTGGCATTTCTATGGTCCTTACTTCCAAATGTCCTTTAAAAGCTCTTAATCAACTTTCTTACAAATGGTATTTATGTATAAAATAATGCACTTCACTCACTACTGAAATGTAGCCAGTTGTAAAGTAGAACATGATTGAAATCAAATAGTCTCCACCAGTAGTAGGCATCTCTTTAGGAAAGACACGAATGTTTTATCCAGTAGAAACTAGAGAAAGTTTAGCTAAGTAGAAGCAAATTATCTGAAATAGCAATTTGAGGGAGCAGTACATCACCGTTTGAATAAACAGTTTGAATAAAACCACTGTTTTAATAGACCTACAGGCCTATTAAAAACCAGAAACATTAATTCCTCGATATTATTTCTCCTCCCTGGCTGAAAGATATTCTTTCCATCTACAGAATGTTTGTGAGCACATAGCAAGGCACAACTTTTTTTTCTGATGCAGAAAGAGGAACGCTTTCTTCTCTACTGCTAATACCCCTTCCCCCTGCTATATCTAGTTTCTTAGAAGACCTCTTACTTATTCTAACCTCTGTTAGTTTAGGAAATCGAGTATCAGGGTAGGTATTGATACAGGCAGCAAGGAGGTGTGTAGATTAAGACTATGTGCAACGCGTTGAAGCTGTTCTGCTCTCTGAGTTGTGTGTTTTTTCATCAATAAATACGGACTCTGAGTTACAGTAGCACTAGCTGTATGTGCCAACTCTTTTATTGTGAAGAGGATGGCTGTCTGATGAGTCCAGTGACTGCTACTGGGTTTCTGTGAGCGTAGCTGCTTTAAGAATACCAAATATCAGGAATTATTAAAACGACATTTTAAGCCATAGAGAAGAAAAGATCCTGCTTTTCCCCATGTTTATAAGGACATCTAGTGTTTAAAAGTACTTCAGAATTCTCCCATCCATGTCAGGCAGTTCTAATTTAAACCCTTAGCATCCCTTGGAGCAGACAAATCCTGTTACAGACAGACAGCCTTTCCCAACTTAAAAAATCAGTTTGAAATTTAGCAGTGTACACAGAGCTTTAAGGAATGCACACTCCCTTGGCTCAAAAAAGGTTATGAGAATCATATGTCAGTCTCTTCCCTTTTAATGTTTACTGAAAGGGGGACTGGCTTGTGGGCATGTCACCGATTCATCATGTCACCTCTCTACCATTTATTACTATTAAAAGATACATTTTCTTGCTTCCATGTCCTATTCGGAGTCCTGGTAAGATGAAAAGGCAAAATAATTTCCTAGTTCTGTTCATTAATTGATAGCTTAATATTCATTCAGGCTAGTTTACTTGCACTGTCTTCCGTCCCCCTTACACGTGTCCTCCTCCCACTGCACAGGTCAGCCATTTAAGATACCTCCTGTTTAAGTTGTCAGTCTGAATGTAAAAATCAGCTTTCCTCATGTCTTCAGAATATCATAAAGCTATGCAGGGCCAGACCCTTTGGTCTCTCCAGCTCAGTGTCCTCTTAGTACCCCACAGCAGACGCAGGGGAGGAGAATGTAAGAAAAGGCAAGTATAGACAGATACTTTTCCTGTCCTATCTTCCACATTTCCTGCAGTGAAAAATTTAGAGAGTTCTTGAGCCATAGGTTGTGTTCAGACCATTTGGACCAAAGGATCTGTCCTCCATGAACTTAGCTAACTGCTGTTAGAACTGGATGTATCTGTACCCCGTAACATCCTGTAGCGGAGAGTTCAACAATCGAGTTAGGAGTTCCACAATTTAATTATGTGCTGTGTGAAAAAATACTTCCTTCTGTCTGTCAAATCTTTTGCCTGATAATTTCATTGGATGTTCTCTAGTCCGTTCTTCAGTTGTCTTCAGTATTTAGTATGGGATGTCAGGCATTTGCCCTGGGAAGACTGTTTGGCTGAGGTTATGGAGCGTGACCAACGACATTTTCAAACTCTTAGCTCAGGAGCTGGCATATTCCTTCCCACAGCTGTCCGAGATCTGCCCACGTGAGAGAGAATGCCTCTAAAAAATGAAGTCCCAGGGTCTAGCCAGCTGTTTTTCTTTTACATGAGGCATCTGGGGGAGAGAACGAATTATTTTCTAAAAAACTTTGGAATTGGATCTTTCCCTTCTCCGAGTTAATACAAAAAAAAAAAAAGAAGGAGCTACATCCTCCCCGTCCTGCAGTTTTAAAGATCTCAGATGCTGCCTTTGCTTGAGAATATTTTGCAACCTAATTGTAGGATTTCATACGGTAGAAAATGGCTCAACGTTTGGATCTGAAGGCTGGGACGGGCATTTGGTTGACTTAAGAAACCCTTGTGCTTTCTAGTTAACAGGAGGGGGGGCGGTGAGGCATCTCCTGATCCCTCCCCAGGGTGCCTGTCCCTCTACTTCCAGGCAGCAGCTCGAGCCTGCCTCTCTACCCCAGCCCTGCCCCCTGGCAAACCCCTTACACTGGATCTCACAGAAATGTCCTTGAAAAGCAGCCCTGGGGCTGGCTTCCGCACCTGCTTGAGACACATTTTTGCTGCACAAACAGCAGACTTTTTGTTTGTTTGTTTTTTAAAAGGTAAAGATATAAAACAGGGTTTTAACACATTTTATAGCCCAGAGAAACCCAGATAGGGCCTTGCAGTGTAGATGAAGTCTCAGGTTTGTGAAACAATCCTCAGTTTGTTTTCATGACATACATTAAACCTCACCAGGTCCAAGATTAATTTTTGAAAACTACTTTTATATTCTGTTTTCAGAAAAGCTACTCAAGCTAGACCCTGAGAACACACTGACCAGAATAATTTCTATGGTCTCTCTTTCTTTCTTTCACAAGTCACAGATCAGTGCTGCAAAGTCGAGGTTGCACATAACACAGGAATGTTTGATGCTTTCATTGGAACGAAATTCCCTCTTCTTCCCTTTCCTCCACATTGCTCTGTTTTTCTTAAAATTTTGTAAAAAACGCTTTATAAAAAGTTCTAAACTGCTTGACCTCTGTTTTCCTGATACCATTGCATTTTCCCTGTTATATTTTCCTGTGTCGCTCTAAACGAGTTCTCAGTATTCCCACAAGAAAGGAGAGTGCAATTTAACACAAGGTGGAAAGGCTCCCAGGCAGCCTTTTCTGAGGAACACAGAAACCTGCACCTGCTGACTCACCAGCTCCTCCCACCACACAGGAGGTCACAGGCATCCGTCAGTCACTTCTTGGTATCAGCGAGATGGTAGAAATTGTAGGAAATCTCTCCATGTTTCAATTAACTTCTTGAACTGTGAACTTTTATTCAGTACTTGTAATAAGTGCATGCAAATACATATTGCAGTGAAACAAAAACATAAGGGACAGATCAAAAGAAACCACTAGTTACAAATCTGATTCAGCCCAGAGTGCTTGAATATTTTATGGATTACAAATTTTCATCAGACTGAATTATAACCTTAGTAATTTGTCTTTTTTTTTTTCCCTTGCTTTTTCTCCTCATGTAAATGATTTTTACTTCTAACACTGGAAATTAATTCTAACACTGGAAATTAATTGCTGAAACAGCAAGTTGAGAAGTGAGTGGAAATAGACTGCGACTCTGTACAGTGGTGAAATTTCATTTGATAAGATACGAGGCAGTCGATGTCCTTCTAAATATTACATGATGTTTATTCTTCTGTGGAGGCTCCTGCCATGCTCCAAAGGCAGACACTCTGTTTGCCCGGGGTCCTGCTTTCCTCTAGGGAGGGTGAAGTTGGATTGTAGCCATTAAGTTTCTACCAGCCCAGGCACACACTGGATACACAGCCTGTTTACTTTGATTAGTTTGCATTCTTCCCATTATTTGGGCCTTGCATGCCAAACAGGTTAGCTAGCATGAAACAAAGGTCTCACTCATTAGTGCTCAAAAAAAAAAGTTTTTGCAGACCAAATGAGGCTGAAGAGGAATGAAAAGCAAAGAAAATGTTTTGGACACACTCTGGAGAAACCAAAATATTTTGATTTTTTTGGAATGAAGAAAGGAGCCTTGAATTTCTGCCTATCACTGGGATCCTTCCCAGTTACTCTGACCGTCTCGAAGAACCTATCATTTCCCAAAATGGGCACTCTGAACACAGTGTCAGCTTGGATTATCTTAAGTTCCCAGTACAAACAACTGCCTCCCTAGTACGATCCATGGGGAAAAGCACAGGCAAATCATTTTCATTCGAACAGCATCTCTTTTCTCATTTCAATGCAGCATGTAACAGTGTAGTAGTCTGAGTTATTCATGCATTCCAGATTTTGTAATCGGCTGTTCCTGTGTGAATATGTCTATTAAAAACAAAAGCCTCTCCAAAAGTGCATGTGGCAGCAAATACTAATTTTTCTGTAAGCAGAAGCTCCATTTTTTTTCCCTTCATTTGTTCTCGTGCTTGTTCCTTCCCCTCCCCAGTTGATCATAATTTCTTGCAGAATATCATGCACTCAGGTGAAAGCATCAAAAAGCGATGCTTATAGGTGCATAATTACTTGTGATATTTATAGAGGTTCCCCAATGCAATTTCTGCATGTACTTATTAAGTTCTGCCCACACAAACCCCAGAAAATAACATGTTAGCTTAGCTTGCAGAGAGTTTAAAAATATAAAAATATTTTCCATAAATTGGCACCGATTCCAACACTTAGTAATATATTTCATTCATGCTTAACTTGCTGCCTTTCCCGATTTCTTGTCCCCACATTTAAGCAAGAAGGAGAATTTGCTACCAGTGCTTGTTCTTAAATTAGGAAACTTAAATACCTATTGATGAAAACACACGATGATTCTTGAACACTGGTTTTGCAAGAAATTTGCAAAAAGAAGTAAGAATCTTGTACTTCTGTCTTCGTATGTAATCTTTTACTCCTAGATTAGCATCAAATCGGTTTGGTGTAAATTGAAGATTTTTTTTTTTTTTTTTTTTGCTAATACAGAATCAGCAAGTGTAAGTCAAAACTGTTGGCTCCTGAGCTGATCCACACAGCCTTTGGGCTTCAGCTGTCCCTGTTTATAAGAAATTTTATTACCCAGAGGACTGCACAGATGAATTGCCTCGAGGATGGGGGCTTCCTGGTGTTTACATATAAATACATCTTTTAAAATAGACACATAACCACACTTCTTTCTTAATTGCTTTATCAATTATTTATCGGAGAGTGCAATCAATAAGCTGCCAGTATCAGTTTTGCTCTTTGCTTGTAACTACAGAGAGAGGGTTGTGGATTCTGTCACACTTGGGCCACCCCTGTTCACACAGCACGGTGGGCTGAAGGGGGACGTGCTCTTGCTTAGTTTCTCTGCAGAGCATAAACCCACTGTCAAGTCTTAAGCCTCTTCCTTCTGAGAACATATTGAAATGATTAATGTAAAGGAAAAAAAGCCAAGCAAGAAATCGGCCAACTCTACGCTTATTTAATGACCTCGGATTTTTGCATTATTTAACAAAATGAGGGAAGGAAGGTGGTAGGTGTCTCCTTATCTTTTCTTTCAAGAATTTACAAAAAAAGTTTATTAACCTAGTGGTTACAGGAAAAAGAAGCTGAAGGATCTCCAAGTGGATCAGGCAGGCTGCAGAGAGATTTGATTTTGAAAAGGATGTGACTTCTAATGAGCACAGCTTTTTCCTGTGCTTCTCCGCGTTGTCGTGAACTATTCTCTTTGTACTTTTGGCAGACAGATAAGTTTAGAAGTTAACAAGCTAAAATCTTGTAGATGTTTTTAAGAACTGTTAGCAAAGGCTACTTTGAATCTTCACAGTTCAGAACTGTGTCTTTCTGGTTTTCGGAGTTCCTTGTTCTGTGCAAAGAAGCGTCCAAAGATGATACCTCAGGTCTGATAAATTTGCTTTGCAGGAGAAGGAATACTTAACAACTGCATGCATGAAGGAACAATTAAGTGCTAATAGTAAAACTGTCCAAGAAGGAAGAGGAAAAGCGTTCTCAGGATCTATGCAGGTTCATTGTTTACAGGCAGTAATGTATTTGCAAGGACTAAGCGAGACAAAGCTGCTACAGGTAGCGTGTACACGGTCTGCAGAAGGTTAGCCTCTAGTGAATTTATGCCCCTGTAGAATCGCCACAGGATTTTTAAAACAGCAGAATGACCATTTCAACCTACCATGAACTTGAAAATTGGCCTAATACGGCAATTACTTATGTATTCTGTAATTTATTTTTTTTTTATTTACTTTGCAGCTCTGAAGATTGCAGTTGTAGATATCTATCATTCCAGGTTAAAGGAAAGACAGAGAAGAAAAAAGTGAGTTTTCAAGCAATAACTGTGTTCCTTTGCTTCATTACCATGTTTTGGTCCCCAGTGTTGTCCTAATACTAATCATAATTGATTTCCTATAGCATCCTTCCAGACAACCCCCATGCATGGAAACCTTCTGCTGTGAGATTTGCATCCCAGGCTTCACCTTGGATGTGTGATTTTCCTGCTGTGCACAGATTAAGATTAGGCACGTGGCTTTCAGCCCAGAAAAACACAGATTAACAAACCCTGAGATTCACTAGTACACGTGGTTGACAAAGGACCTCTCCACACCGTAACTCTCCTTTAAATGCTCAGAACAAGTCACTAATTGTGAAATGCTTATCTTCCAGTCCTTTTTAACGCATGAAAGTCATGTACACGGTGCTCTTCATATTACTATCCCAAATCCAGTTATACATAAATAACTCAAGCTTCTCTCACACCTTAGGAGATCACGTAGCCATTCTGCAGAATGAAAAACTGAAATACTCTCTGGGAAACGGGTCACAGGTCCAGAGCTAGGAACCAGAAAAAAGAGGCAAATCTCTGTTCATTTTGTTCCCTCTGTAATGCCGATGGGCTGCACATAATTCATTTTCTACTTTAGGGAAAAAAAAAAAAAAGCAGCTGCCAGTCTGTGACTAATTGCTAGACCCCCACGTTCTCTGTAGAAATGCTTGCATCGTTATTCTTCATTCTTAGTGGTCCATAAGTTAGTTTTCCACAATGTGTAATGGAGATAACTATATTGCTGACATGAGTTTGAATAATTTATTCAGTTCATTTGACAGCTTTCTAGAATGACTCAATCTATTCATTAAATTCAGTTTTATTATAACTTTCAAATACTTTGTTCAATATTTAAAATTATATCTTGCTGTATTACTCCCTGCTGGAAGAATTAGTAATTTGGTGTAAAACTCCTCCATTCCTTCTCCTCATAATGTAGCATAGTTCTGCTGGATGACAGGTTAGAGTTGATACGTATTGACTTGGTTCTTTGTAATTCATAAATAAAAATATTTATGTGATATAATTTCCATTATGATAAATCATGGCATACTAAAAGAAAGTGCCATAAGGCTCAGTTACGTAACTCAAATCGGTGTCAGTTTTTGTAAAGTTCCTACAGCAGGATGGGACAAAATCTGGAAAATGACCTAAAGTGCTGATGTCAGTCTCAGAAAAGCTTCTCTACATGGGACAGGAATATTCTTTTACACATACTAAAGAAAATGTAATGGATTTTATTAAAAAATATATAAATATATATATATTTTATTTATATATATATTATATATATATAAATAAAATATATAAATATATAAATTCCAACCTGACCCTGACTAGCCCAACTTTGTAGTATCTCTTACCATTAGCAGAAGTTGGGTGCTTACCAAATCACCCCATAGCAGTGACCACATGACATCTGCTGAAACCTGTGACGGGTGTCTGTGTCATGCACTGTGTAAATATCGTACCTGCCTTTTCACTCTGCTCACTTCCCTGATCCTGTCAGGAGCCCTTCAAACTTACGAGTTGCCTAAATCATCTCCCTCTTTCTAAAATCTAAGCTGCCATGGAAAAAATTCTTTCATCCTGCTCCCAGTGGTGAAATTTACAGTCCATCTCTCACCCTTGCTCTCGTAGAAGGACGTTTGCCTCTCTCTGTAAGCTGGAAATCACGCTTCACGAGACATTCCTTCACCTCCAGTTTGGGAAGGGCAAGTTACGAGACACTGCAGATGCAAAGTCTGTGCCTAAAGAAGCAATTTCAAACCTTTAAAGCAACTGTAGCTCCCTTTGTACTTAGTGCTGAGAGCTGGACTGATGCACACCGCTGCCCAGAATTTACCCAGATTAAAGCTGTGCTGCAGCACTGCACCATGTTTCTCAGCTAGCCAGCTCAAGGACTGTGGAAATTTCACACACGTTTAGATTTAGACCCTTCTGATGGTCTAAATGAAAAGTTTCTTCGGAAGCCTTTTTATTTATGAGGTAGTGTAAGAGTTAATACCTTTTATTAATACCATTTTGCTCTCAATTACAGAATTATCAGAGATCATGGCCTAATCAACCTCAGAAAATTCCAGAGTGAGTATCAGGTGTAACTGTTTCACTTTAAAGTGGCCTCTACTCCTGGAGCAAAACTTGGCATGTTCACTGTTTCCAGCGCAGCAGTGTGGTTTATTCATACTGGACCGTATTCAGACGGTCAGAATTCCAGCAGATTTCCTGCCCCAGCTGTTTCCAACTGGCTGGCTCGAACTGCTCCCAGCTCAGTGTCTTAGTTACTGCCTCAAAATTGCTCTTCAGAAGTATTTCGGTCTCCACTGAGTCGGGAGAGAGGTGAAGGTGAAATCCAGGCCTTTTAAGTGCATCTCACTATTCCAAGAAATTATAACATTTAAATATCATCCTTTATGCTTTTAAGGGCTGTGTAATTTCGTTGCTTTTTTACTCACTAATTTGTAGTTGCGGCCCCAAAATGGCCAAGAAGTGCACCAAATGTGGATCTTCGGGCACTTCACAGAGACTGGTAGTCACTTCAGGTTCCAGTGAATTTATTTTCTTCTCGCAGTAGGAGTGATAAAGGTGTGTCACTTTTTTTTTTCCCCGCTCTAGTTTTGGAAAGACGATATCCAAAGGAGGTTCAGGACCTTTATGAAACAATGCGACGATTTGCACGAATCCTCGGACCTGTAGAGCATGATAAGTTCATTGAAAGCCACGCATGTAAGTATTTTGAGGATGTTAGCATGTATGCTCTTCAGTAGGCATAATGAGGGGTTGCATCATCTACAAACTTTCCTAAATAGATCCCACTCCTGGAGGGCAGGAGGTTGCTTTTCCTCTTCCTCCCCAGTCTAACTACCTCAGAAAAACAAATAACATTTGTGGTTTGATACATTAAATGAGCAAGCAACTGGTTTTTTCCACTAAACTGTGTCTTGAGTTCTTTGTTTGATTTTGCAGTTGACTGAACATTCTGGTCATGTATTAGAAGTAGTGTTTTCTTATCAAAAGACCATTATTCATTTACTCGGACTCTATATCACTAAAAGAACAAAATCCCTAAAATTTATATCTGTTGAGAGATTGGGAGCTGGCAGCAAATTGTGAATTCTGTGAAAGGTGCATGTTAAACTATTACATGTGTACATAATTATATAGTACGGCTGTCATTATGGCCCTTACCTTGAAGGGAGAGGCATTGTTCCATCACCAAATCATCTTGAGTCTTTATGCATAATCATAGCATGCATTTAGTCAAATTCCAGTACGAGTCATTACATCCTGCTTAATTCTGTGACTTAAACTGGGAAAATTGTTGCTCATTAGAAGGAACAAAGCATTTAAATAGCTGTGACTGTATTTTCAGGGCACCCTGTGTGAAATACCAAAAGTATGATCCTGCAAAATCATGAGTCCCACATGTGAGCATGAGTCCTGGAACCTCATTTTGTTGTTGTAGCGACAGCAAAGTCCTCAGCTTGACCCGACAGTCAAGTACCCACATTATACAGATCTCCTGAGTAGTATGAGGAAGCGAATTCGAGACAAGCAAACTTGCTCACCGTAAAACTAAGCAGTGCCTGGAAGCCAGCTGATAAAAGCTAGACAGTAAATATCTCTGAGCAAAAGAAACATGGATATTTAATCTTAGTGACTGCAGGAAAAGAGTTGTCTGCAAGGAAAAATTTTGGAAGGTCCAGTTATGAAAATCATAGTTCAAAGACAATATTAGGTGCTGTAAGGAGCCTGGATGGAGTTGTTTCTCAAACCTATTGAAATGCCTCCTGGAAATCCTACATGATTGTTATTTGCCTTGTGCAGGGCATGGCAAAAGAACTGTCAAAGCATGGAGATAAAATAACTTTTCTCGGCACGCAAATGCTAGAAACCAGCTTTAAATCTGTGATCAGGGAGCGCGAGGACACAGTGGGTTTGAGATGTGGCACAGACTTGTGCAGAGACCCTGTCTGTGGTTCTGTGTACTTCAGAGCAAAATGAGGAGACAACTAAGAACTAGCAGTGTTTCTAGTGGAGTTCGCTGCCTTCCCTGCTGACCCACATTTGGGTTTTTTTTTCATTTCCCTTCTGCTTACTCTTTTGGTAAAACAGTGGAATTTGAGCTGCGAAGGGAAATAAAGCGCCTACAGGAATACAGAGCTGCAGGAATCACCAATTTCTGTAGTAAGTACCTGATGCATTATTCAGCCCATTCCCATTCATCAAGGTGTGGAAGGGTGATTTTACAACATGTAGGATGTGTTGAATAAAAAGACATTTATTTTTGAAATGCATTTGCCTGGCTCTTTAACTGAACAAGGCATTAGCGTCAGTCCAGCTGTGGTTTTTTTAAAGTTAGTTTGAGCCATCAGCTTGGAGGAAGCTGCCTAGCAGAGCTCTGCTTTAGTCACCACTTTGCAAAAGATGCAGAAAAAAAAATAAAAATGTATGTCATGGCACAGTGGTCTCCAGTGCTTTATCTCTGGGACACTTGCACTAGCTATCAACAAGTGTGATATCTGGGGGGAGGCCTAAGACCTCTGCGTAAATGAAATGCCCTGTTTTATCCTGGAATTGGATCATGGAAGCCTTTTTTGTTTGATTTTGGCCTGAAATTAATAGGGGGAGGGGTGCAGGGTGGAATCTAATACCTTCTGATGCCAAGTAGTTGTCATGAGAGAGAATAGCAGAGTCTGGTCCAGAGCTAGAGAACAGTTTCTCACTTATTTCCTAAAGCAGAAAAAACAAGTCTGCAAATGTTGACCGAGGCAGCTGGTGAGAGCGTGGTATCTGTTTGCCACAGGTGCCAGAACATACGATCACCTCAAGAAGACGAGGGACGAGGAACACCTGAAGCGCACGATGCTGTCGGAGGTGCTGCAGTACATCCAGGACAGCAGCGCCTGCCAGCAGTGGCTCAGTCGACAAGCCGATATGTACGGTTACAGTAAGAGTGGGCATTGGACATCCCTATGCTTTAGTCACACAGGGGCACCAAACACCTTTTTCTGTCCGATATAATGCATTCCCGGTTAATCCCAGCAGGATCAGCCTGCAAAATTCAGAAGGGCAAGAAGCTGGCTAACAGTGGTGCTTGTTGAAGTGCAGACAAGCAAGTGAAGAGTCAGGGCTCAGAATCTCAGTTTTCTGTATTTTATATTTCGGGAACTTAACTGCTGTTAATAAAGTCATGAAGGGAAATGAGGTCTTTATGGATATTAATGAGGGCGCAGATGACACTTGAAATGTTTCAGGTGATTTTAGATGCAGCAGCATTATTAATGTGTAGTCACCCTGCACAAACACTTTGATTTAAGGAGCAAGCTGCGATGCAAAGGAAGTGCATCCTGTATGCCACGTGGGCAGAGAAGATGATCTCTAATTTCCCCTGTCAGCCTTCACTGCATTTTTTATTGTAACCCCTGCCCTCTCCCCTTTTTTTTTAAAAAAAAAAACAACAAGTTTCAGACATGTTCTTCAATCTGGGAGTGCTAAATATTTAGAAATCCAGTTGATTTGAGATGAGAGCCTGGGTTATGCGAGTTGAATTGTATAATTATTAGAAGTTGGGGGGAAAGTAGTTGCAGGGCTCATATATGCTGTTATTCTTAAAAAAAAACATGAAGGCAATTTGAAAATTTCCTTTCTTTTCAGAGATTCCGGCCTGACTCCCACGGTACCAGTTCCCTCAAATTCAGGTAACTGTTAGGTGATAGTCTGTGGTAAAACCCCACCTGAACGTCAGTCGTAGCATTCGGACAGCCGCGGGAGAGTGGCTCTCTTGCTTGAGTGCTAAAGCCTCAGTCCTCAACCGTCACTGGTTAAACACTCCTGAAATCAACATTACCTCAATCTGTAACTCATTCCACACACAAGTCCTGTGGGATTTTTTCCTGAATTTCTATATTTTTCTGACTGAAGGGGGAAAGCCCATCCTAAAGCTACATTAACAAGCAGGAAAGAAAAGAATTTTCACGTGAGAAAAAAATTTTATCTTTGAAAGATAAAGCTTAGCCAGGTTTTTAATGAGGCTGTACAGCACATACCATAGCAGTAAGACAGAAAGCAGATTTGGGAGGGAATAGCACCAGAATACCCAGGGTGAAGAGAACAGGGTGATGTTCCAAGGTAATAGTACACCCAGAAGCGGGTGACATAACACTCAGAACAGGGTAACATTGCACCCAGAACAGGGTGGTGTTACACCCAGACAGGGTGATGTCACAGGGTGAGAGAACATACAGAACTGGGTGACTTTACACCCAGAACAGGGTGATGTTGCACTCAGAACAGGGTGACGTTGTACCCAGAACAGGGTGACATAACACCCAGAACAGGGTGACATAGCACCCAGAACAGGGTGACTTTGCATCCAGAACAGGCTGACATTGCACCCAGAACAGGGTGTCCTAACACCCAGAACAGGGTGATGTTGCATCCAGAACAGGGTGACGTTGCACCCACAACAGGGTGACGTTGCACCCACAACAGGGTGATGTTACACCCAGAACAGGGTGACTTTGCATCCAGAACAGGGTGACGTTACACCCACAACAGGGTGGCATCACACCCACAACAGGGTGGCATCACACCCAGACCATACAGGTGCCTGAGAAGCAGACACTAGTTCAGCTTCAGGCCCTCCAGGGTGACAGACTGAGACGACACAGGTTGCCTCTGCAACTTCAGTTTTCCTTTTCTATGAATATCCCTTTATAGTCTTTAATTCTGTAAATCACAAATCCTGTTTTTTTCCACCAAGAGGACCCCACTTCGTTCAGTGCCCAGTAAGGGTAGATTCAGGGGTCAGTCAAGGCCCTCCCGAAGAAGACCTCTATAAAACCCCACCTCATTTGTTGGGGTCACAGGGTGGCGTGGAAGGAATGAGACTGGGATAAAGTTTTACTGTAGGGCTGTTAAACGTTGCCAGGGGAAAACTGGCTTCAAGCTCTGTCTCTATATCCAGTTTTTATGTGGATGCTAATAACCCCTTGAACCAAACTTGTCAGAGGTGGACTCTATATATTCTTCCGCATTTCTGCCAGGAGCCTTTTAAATTTGGGTCAGAATACCAAGCAATTAGTCATTGCAGGATGCACTGCGTTTTAAACGTATTTGGGGATCACTGAGATCTGGTATTTTGGAGAGAAAATAGCCCTGCGTGTCTCAGGCTGGGCGTGCAGAGGCCATGGAATGGGGACAGTATCCCCCTGCCTGAAGGGCTGGTATGAAGAATGAAGTTAATTTTTTGTCAAGTATTCAGGGGCCCGTGAAGGAGGGGAGCCCGAGAGAACATGAATTGTTTTTTGCCCGTGGAACTCGGATGGCATGCGGTGTTTACAGCCAGTATCACATGTTGAACAAAACCCAAACAAAATGCCATATAGTTGCTAATTAAGCGAACATCCTGCATACTGAACAAGGCAGGGATGCTGCGGAAAAACTGCCACGTGTCTATATAATTAAAGGCTGCATCATACTAAATATACAAGAGGGTAAATTAATGTTGCTTAACTTTACTTCTGCATTTGACTTTGCAGCCTTAATATGTTTTCTTTAATGTAGTTTGCATGTGTGTGTTATTTCCTGGGTTTATAAAAGACTAAACCCAAATTCTGTCGTGTCTCATCATAGCACGCTCGTTCCAAGCTGTAGAAAGAGGGAGCAGTGCTGGGAAATAACTTCTACACCTACCAGAGACTCACTACTCCACATTCTTTCTCGTCCTTCAGTTCTCTCTCTGACCAGGCTCCCCAAACCCAGCCAGGCTCCCATCTGTTTCCTACAGATGCTCAGGAGAAAGAGAGAGAGAAAAGATCCCCAGTCCCAGAGGCAGGACCCGGACAGGGCAGGATCTGGAACAGCAGCCAGCACAGTCCTTGGGAAAATGGAGCTGCGCATGTCCCTGGAAGTCATCGCTTTGCCTGATCTGGGGAGTCTGTCCTGGGATAGAGAGACCCATCTCTGACAGTGCTAAATACACAGCACATAGCACAGGGGCAATAGGCTGTTTAAAAAAGTAAATAAATAACCCTAGCTTTGTTCTGAGCTCTGGAAGTTAAAAAAAAAAAACTATTAGAAAAAAAAAAAACAAAAACAAACCTGCAAGTAGACAGCCCTTGTGAAAGTTTAAGCTGCACCAGTTAAAGTTCAGCACTATCAGACTACCTTGTGATAGATATTTCTTTCAGTATTGTTTGTCGTGACAGACAAAACTCCACAAACTGCATTTGCTTTACAGTATCTGCATCGTATTTAAAGGCATTTAAAGAAAACTCTGCCTCCTGCCAGCAATGCCAGGGAAATTGGCTGCTGTCGGAGCCATGAGCCATCTCGGCATCCTGGCAGGGCGCTGGTGTCACACCTGGGAGGCTGCTCACACCCGGGGCACACCCTCCCCGCAGCACCCACCCCCTGACCCCGGCTGCAGGAGGCGGTTTAGTCAGGAGGCACAGCCCAGCTTAACCACAGCCAGTGCCAGGTGACAGAAAGCTATTGTCCTCCAGTTCCTCCTAAAAGCCGGTGAGCCAGGGTTAACAGCGCCAGAGTCCTCGCGCAAGCGTTCGCAGCCCTTAACTCTGCCAGTTGCAACATCAAACCTTTTATCAAATCAGTGCAGATTTTATGTCAAGCCCTGAAAACCCTTGTCCACAAGCACTTGGATCACACTGGGTTAACGTCACGGGGTTGAATTGCCTCTGTGGTAACACATCTAAGGAACAACCCCGGCCAAAGCTCCGTGTTTGTCAGCGTTCCCCTTTCTTGTCTCCGCAGGTAGACGGAGTGCCCCACCGCTGAACCTCACGGGTCTCCCGGGGACAGAGAAACTCAACGAGAAGGAGAAGGAGGTGAGGAAAGGAATGGAAAGAGAATCTATATAAAACTTTAATCTTCACAGTGCAGGGGTGTTCACACCATCTGCCTCAGGTGCTGTGAATATCACCTCAGCTTTATGCCCTGACTACGCTTTCCTGCTCACAAAAATCATTCAGGTTTTCCAGCTGGCTCCTTAATTTCAGTTCCCGTACCCTGCGTACAACATGGCTGCAGCAAATTAGCTTATTTAGCAAAGAAAGGTGGAGTGTGCCAAGGTGCTATTACGAGCTATTACAACATCCAGAGGATGACATCCTCTCTTCCTCCGCTGTGAGACGAGTGAGCAGAAGGGTCATTTTTTTCTTAATGAACATTGGTTTTAAAATTGGTAGAGGATTTCATCAAAGGCTTCACTGGGCACATCGCTGAACCTGAATAGCGGAGCTCTTTCTGTGTTAGAGATCTCACAGCCAAACCTCAACCAGTCACGGTTGGTGTTTCACGGTAGCACTGATGCAAACCATGGAGGCAATAACGGCGCGTTGTTCTTTTCATGTTTTTTCCACATTTCTGCTTTACAAGGCATTTACCAAGCTTTTTGTATGCACGTGTGGAATCCGGCTTGCTTTAAGCTGTGGGTTGTTGTCCCGTGCAAATGCAACGCAGGGGCAACATTCATGGCTCAGCTGCTTCAGCAGCCCAGTGTAGGCCTGTCCTCTCATTCAGCGAAAGGCAACACTGGAAATTATTGAAGTTAAAAAAAAAAAAAAAAAGTCTTTTAATAGAAGCCATAATCTGTCCTTAGATTGTCCACAAGGCAGAGTTCGGGGTGTGTGAAACGCAGACGTGTTTCAGACTTCTCCCTCTGTGTGGAAGCTGTTTCCCCTTCGCTGGAGATGGCAGCATTGAAAATCAGATCACAGATTCGCCATGGAACATGGCATTTCTGGCTCCACTCAGCTTATAAATAATTGTGACTAGGACATTAGTGTATATGGGGAATCTGATTTCCTCGTCAGCTGAGACATAAAGTCTGAGTTCCTCTGAATTCTGCAATTTCCTATCAATGAGGAACAATCATTAAGCTTTTCCTTATTAAAAGGAGGAGACAGCCAGTACCTCCACTGGGAGCAATACAACGCACCGGCTCGACGGCGGCTGGGATTTGGAAGCTCAGTAAGAGCATTGCAGCCTCACGGCAGAGCAGAGGGGCTCTTGAGAGCAGTTCCTTCTCCCCAACTTCCACACGCATCATGCCCTCCCTGCACGGTTGCCATCGCGGCCTTCTGGAGGGGGCAGACGCTGTGTGCGTAGCTGCTTTTGTAGAAAGGTATTAAAGACTTAGTCTGCAGGGGATTAATAGACAGATGCCCTCCCTGGCTCTGGTCCAGCATGCTGAATTGCTGGTTGCAAGTCTCTTTGGCATGTGTACTTCCCTTGGTTTGTAAAGAACAACGCCCACACAGGACACACTCATAGTTACGCTCCTGTGAGCCCAGAGCTTGCTTTCATCCTCCTAGTTTGTTTTTTAGGCAGGAATGTTTTTGAATGCAGGAGCCAGCAAGCTGCTCCCCTCCCTACCTGTGGATCGAAACGGCTCGTAATGCAATTACTGTATGCCTCCCCCATGCAAAAAAAAAAACCAACCCAAAACCCACATTTAAAATGTTTTCTGAAAAAATATTCACAATGTTACTCCCCCAGCAGGGATCACAGAGTGAAAGAGCATGACAAGTGTTAGTGTTTATTAACTTCACCTTTTGTCTTCCAGCTCTGTCAGATGGTGAGGTTGGTCCCTGGAGCCTATTTAGAATATAAAGCTGCTTTAGTGAACGAGTGTAACAAACAGGGAGGCCTGAGACTAGCGCAGGCTAGAGCACTCATCAAGATCGATGTGAACAAAACCAGGAAAATCTATGACTTCCTTATCAGAGAAGGGTACATCACGAAAGCCTGAGGACAGACACGGGCGCGTTGGCTGGAGCAGACAGATGTGGAGAAGCTTTGAAGTCGCTTTGACAGCGCTGAAAGATTTTAACAGTGTTGAATGAAGGACATTTCCTTTTGTTTAAAATCTTTGGGGGCTTTTTTTTTTGGGGGTTTTTTTTTTTTTTTTTGTAAAAACAAGTAGGGAGCTTTGTTAAATTGTGTGAATACTGACATTTCTTTGTCTGGTTTCCTTTCGACTCTGCTGTTTAACACTGCTGTTGTCAGAATTACGCTGCCATGTAGCGCTGGAAAGAATCATACGCCATCTAAGCTAGACTTAAATGTGAATGGGCATTTATTTCTAACACCTCCTGTAACTAAAAAGGGAATCACGGTACTTTTATGCTGACAGTGACACAGAATAAGGACAGAAGAGCAGCACGCAGCGAGAGTGACACTTTGACTTTGTGCGAATACAGGGGTATAGAAATGCAGTCCCCTCCCTTGTACTCCCTCCTAAAACAGCGGCAGCTTTCAAAGGAGATAGCACATGCCTGAGGGTATAAAAATAGAGTTTGCAGTGGTCCACTCTTTTTAACTTAATTGTGATAAAGGATGGGAAAGGACATTGCAGGGAAGCTCCTCAACAGTTGTTACTTTTATGTGATATTAGCACATATCACAGCATGAGAGCACTCTACAAACCAATAAGCTTCATCTCCTTGCTACTGGATTTGTGATAGTCAAGTTCTCTGTAATCCCTCAGTTTAAGTCTTCGGTGCTCCGGCTCGTTGGAAAGGCTGGATGTTACAACCAGAGCAGCCTTTTGGAACACAAAGAAAGACTCTCTGTACCCTGACCTTCTCTCACAGAGATAACAAGCAAAGAGCACCACAAACTGCCCAGAGCACACACTTCAGCCCTCCTGCTCGTGGGGCCTCTCAGCTTAACCGCGTCGGCGGCGACTTACCCAGTTGACCAACAAAGCAACAACGAGGTGCAACAGGTCGCTACACACGCACAATGTCACGCCGGATGACCCATCGTGGGGTTTCAGAACAAAACCTTTGTATTGGAAAACACAGCCGGATGATGGAGATGGTTCTTTTCAGATGCAGCTTGGCGTGGATCACCAGACAGTAAAGTCTTCATCAAACAGCTTCCATTGCTAATGTATAACGCCGAAATAACGTCCCATATGTAACCTGACAGCCAAAGCAGGTGGGATGGTGGGTGCTCTCCAGTTGGGGATCTCGTGGGAGAGCTACAGCTATACCAATACCTACTTAAGGGGGTTAGATTTGGGTGGTTTTTTTTTCCCCCAGAGTAATTATCCTGTGTACCTGAGGTGCTACTGAATGTGAAGTATTTTGATTTATAATAAAATCAAAATGGCTTGAAACAATCGTACATTCGCGTTCCTGGACTCTGAGTGGGACTGTAAAGGTCACGCAGCTGCCTGTATCTGTATCCATCAGCTTCCAGCCATGAGAGAGAGATAAATGCCCAACAGCGGCTGTATGGATGCGACCACTAAATTACCTAGAAAATATCACTATTTAAAGAAGAGCAGCAGTAATAAACCACATGTTGAAGATTAAAGTCTGTAGCAGTTGAGACTGTATAGACTGGGAATGCCAAGGGAAGGGACAAAGTGAGCTGTAAATCCTTGGGAATGTTTTTTCCCTGTTGTCTTTTAACATTAACCAAACAGCTGAACTACCTTTTCCTCTTGCCTGGTCTCCTGTGCTGCAACTTGTACCAAAAAAAAAAAGCAGCAGATGAGTCAAATACACGGAGATTGGCGACATCCTGCCCAAACTTCAGCGACCTTCCTTCACCCCAGAGTGACCCAGAGAGGACTGTGAGCATGACCTGCTTTGGGCACTGCGAAATAATTTGCCCATCTGGAAAATGTCGGGGGGGAAAAAAAAATCTCCGGAAAGGTGAGAACTGTGATAAACTGCTCAGGAGGGGAACCAGAAAAGAGGCTTTTCTTTTCCAAGGTAAGAGGGCATGAGGCAGTGGGGAAACGGGGCTGGGATGTTTCCCCCGAATAGCATCCATCAGCAGGTTTCCCCCTTTCACAGGGCATCTCCCAAGCAGGGAACAGGCCCCCAGCACGCCTGTGCTGCCGTCAGCCTCTGCTGCTCCTGCTGCCTTTAATTGCCAGGCCCTACCGCCATGTCCTGTTGTGAGGGGAGGCCAGAGAAGTCACAGCAGGAAAAGGCTCGTGGATCAAAAGGCTCCATCGATGCGGGCCAGGCTGGGGGTGAGATGGGGACCAGGGGCTGCGTGGCCGTGCACAGCCCACCGAGGCACAACCGTCTGAGGACAGGCGAGTGATCCGTCGCCAGAGACACACCGACAGCAGGATTTGGGGTACAAAACCCCACTTTTTAACACTGGTTGGGGCCAGGCTGGCTGATGGAGGAGGCAGGACCAGGTCCCCTTCACCCAAGAGCTTTCAAACGGCTTCCAATAAAATACAACTCAAGGAACAGACAAGCAAAACCCGCCCAGACAGTGCCAGCTGAGGCCGAGCTCGGGAGCGAGCTCAGCTGCAGGGGTTTTAAAACAGAGCAGGCTTTCTGCCGGAGGTTCCTCCGGGGCACGAGGGCTCCAGCCAACGCCAACAGATCCCTGCCTCTTCGGTGACAACAGGGCTGGTGCTCCCTCCCCTCCACGCTCCCAGGAGCGCCATTAGACAGACCGGAAAGAAAAGCCAGTGCTCGGGCACGGGGCAGCCCCTCTCTCCATCACTCCTGTCCCCCTCCTCCCAGCCGGGCGCGCACCGCTATGGCCCCTCTGGACCATTTCCCAACGCTCAGGGAAGGTGGTTTTGGGGAGAAAAAGCTGCTCCTGAGCTCCTGGCTGCCTCGCCGGTCCCTCCTTCTTTAAATCCCGGCTCCTCTCCGACTCCTCACAAAATGTCTCCGTCGCTGCCTGCCAGACCCAGCTCCAGCCTCCCAGGAGCTAGCTGTCGCCTCCGTGTCATTTGGAGAGGCTTTGAAAGGGGGGATCTATCTTTATCCACGCCGGGAAGCGCCATGCGCGGCTCTGGCACTGTGCAAGTAATTAACAATAATGAAAAGTTGGGGTTGCCATGGATATGCTGTTCTATTTACAATGCTCATCTCTCCCCATCACCCAGACCCGTGCAGCAACCGAGGGAAATCAGAACCCCATTCACTGCTTTGGCGTGTGGTTTTATTTTTAACCAGGATGCTGTTATAAGAAGGCGGGATGTCGCGGGCAGGACAGCGGCTGCTCCTGCCCCTGCCACAGGCCGGCTCCTGGGGCTGTGCCTTGGGAAGCAGCACACGGCTTTTCCGTGCTGCCCTGCCTCACCCAGGGGTGAGCTCTCTGCTCTCCGGATGGCTGCTGCCACTGAAAAGAAACCCAATAAAAGCACTTTTCAGATACCTCGAACTAACCGGTTGTGGCTTTGCTGTAAAAAAAAAAAAAAAAAAGGAAAAGAAAAAAACCCAAACAAAACCAGAACTGTCCCCACATGCCTTTTTTTTAAGAACTTTGCTGCTAATGGGCTCTCACTTGAGACCCTGCTTTGGGACCAGTGTTAGTTCCCGACGGGGTGGGTGAGGAAAAAGAGAAAACAAAAGGAAAAAACAGAAAAACCTTCAGCCTGGGGGTTGTTTTTGGCGGGGTCTCGCATGCTCTGGGAAGGCCAGACGTTGTCAGTACACTGCAGGCTCTCAGCTGAGGATTGCAGTTGGCTTAATTAGAGACTCAGGTGAACATGAAAGATTAAATATGGAACAAGACTGGGGACAGGTGGGAAGACGGCCAGTTTGGGTTAATGTGCCGATATGGGTACCTGCAGAATTAATTACGCCAGGACTCGGGCGATGCGGGGAGGCGGTCGCTGCTCCATCCCAGCACGGGCTTAGTCACTGCTAATAGCCAGCGCATGAGGTATGCGCGGTATGAATCCTCTTCGGGGCTGTGCTGTTCGCCTGTCATTAAAAGCATCAGCGTTGGGGTTTTTTTGGGTCTCACAGCTGCCGTCACACCGGCAGCAAACGCACTCGGCCCGTTGGTGACTCAGCCCGGGGAGGTGGGGGCTGCCTGGAGCAGATCTCGGGGGCTCCCCCGCTCCCCAGGCCGCTGCGGCGGAGCAGATAACGCCGATAACGAAGGCACAAGAAGCCCTAGTTTTAGTGCCTGCTCGAATTCCCGTCAGGTGGGGCCGGTGAAACCTAAACCACCTCCTTTTGCAGACAAACACCACCGTGCTGGAACAGCAGCTTTTCAGCTGTGGTTAAAGAAACACCAGAGCCACCCTCCTGGCCGGCGTGACACAAAAAAGGGAAAAATCCAAACCACTCGGCGATGCCCCATAGCGATTCTCCTCTGCTCCTCCAACAAACTGGTTCAGCAGCCTTCCGGGACAAACCAGCACAGATTTATTAGCAAGTTGCGGAGAGAAGGCACGCAGGGGCACAGGGAAAGCAAACGTGTTGCCACCCTCCTCCCTTTGACTGGAGGTGATGGGGGGTGCCAGGGAGCGAGCCCACCGGCAGCCTCGAATGCCCACAGCCCCCCGGTCCCGCTTGGCTGCTCCCCACCATGCATCCCACGTGGCACCCCATGGCAGCGCTGGGCCAGGACCGTGTGGGGACCCAACGGGCAACAAGGGCTCAGGAAAAAGCATGAGAAATCCGGACAGGGAGTCAAGCACGAGCTCGGAGCAGGTGGGGTGCCAGTGTTTTGGGCCTCTTTGGCATGGGAGCTGTTGGGCAATGCCAGCTCCATCACAGGCTCCCCGCCAGCCCCGGGGAAGGATCACCTTTTGCACCAGAGAAAGCAACCCGGCACCCCTTGGGCTTTCCGTACCAACACTAACGTCTCATTTCTTTTGCAAAGCCTGTCTGGAAAGTCAACGTTTCATGAACCAGCATCTGCAGGCGCCAGCACTCCCCGGCTGGGACTCCTTCCCATGAAATGCGAAGGGGACGTGAGCCCGGCCCCGCTGCGCAGCGCTGGTGGGGCAGGCTCTGCACACTGGGCTTCCAGGAGATGTTTGAGGTCCCTGCGATGGGGCAGAGCCCCTGGTTTGGCTGCCCAGGAGGCGATGTGGGGGCTGGGATGGGGAGGAAGCCCCAGTGGGATTGGTGCAGGGAGCAGCGAGCGCCTTTGGGGAGTCCACGTCGGGCCGCCAGCCCTCGCTTCCCGCCCGGCCACGGAGCCTTTCCCGGGGCGTGGGGAGAGGGGCCAGGGAGGGACACAGCAACACCGCGGGTCTGGCTCACACACCCGCACCTGGATGAGCTCACCCAGCCCTCCCGAGACCAAACGGCACCCCGACACCCCTCTGCGCCCAGCGTCTCGCCGAGGGAGCTGCCGAAAGGCAGCCTGTACCACGGGGTCCCAACACAACACAACGCACCCGGCCACCCCGGCTCGGCTCGGCCGCTAACGAGGGGCCCATCGGTACAAGAGGGAGATTCCCCAGTGCAATAAATACATAGAGCTGCATCCCATCGCCCTATAGAGCCCGCAGTCTATCAGCTGGGGCAGCAGAAGGAAAACCAGCCTTGGGGGACAGAGCTTTCCTCCCCGCAGCCTGGCCAGGCAGGCAGGAGCAGGCAGGGATGCCCGGGCTGCCGGGGACACGTGGCTCCCCGCAGCTGAACGCAGCCAGGGGCAACACACTGGGGCTACAGAAACACTTCTCGCTTCCCCCCCAGCCCCGTGACCCAGAGCACCCCGTGGATTTGGAAATGGTCACACACCCTCGCTGCCAACTGCACCTCGGCCGCGTCCCGGGAGCCCCTAAACCAAAATCTCCCCCTTCCCCGGGGAGCTTGGCCGTGGGTTGGGGTGTTGCTTGTGTCACTGGCAAGCAAACAAAAATCCTGCTGTGTTGTGACATCCCCCTGCCTCCCCAGAGAGGCCTCCGGTGACCCAAGTTTGGCCACTTAAATCGCACGCAGTGACCTAAAGCTCAGGCTTTGTTTTCCCTCATTAACAAGCCAAAGCCTGAGCCCCTCCTCAGGGATCTCTGCTCCGCGCAGTCACCTCGCACTGAACGAGAGGTGGCCGACGGCTCTGCTCCTGGATTTACCCCCAGATCACTCGCTGCCTCCCCCGGGTCCCCGCTGCTGTCAGGGAGGCGAGGAGGAGAAGGCAGCACCCCAACACCGTGCCACGGCTCTCCTGGACGCCTCAAAGGTGCCGTTCAGCTGGGACACAGGCGCTGCCGGCACGGTCAGTGCCCGGTACGTTACCCCATGGTTTGACCACCTTGGGATGCAGTTGTCCCTGCAAAAACCCAGGAGGTCCCACGTCCCTGGGCTTTTTGCTTCACACAGGGACCTTTTTTTTGCATCATGCCTGTACAGGCGGCCGAAGGCAGGGAAGAGTAAACTCTGTCGTAGCCATGGAAACTGGAGAGGATGGATGGATGGCGGCGGATCCCTGCACGCGCGGGCCAGGGCCGTGCAGAAATCAGCCATCTGCTCCCCACTCGGCTGGCCTGCGTGACCCTGCGGCTGCTGCCGATCACAGAGCGTGGCAGGAAAACACCCGGGTGATTCAGTTAATAGCCCTAATGACTGTGGCCGGACGCACCCTTCGGGAATGTGCCCAGGAGAGCACCTTGCCGGGCTCACCCCAGCACGCCGGGCCTGGCCGGTGCACATCTGCCAGGCTGGGCTGCGGTAAGGGGGTGAGAGCCCCTCCAACGCCATCGCCCCCCCAAGGCGCCCTGGGGTGCAATCGAGAGGGTCTGGTCCTGTTTCAAGCATCTTTGCCCCAACACGGTCTTTGTATCTCTTCCAAGAGGTGCACAGATCCCTACGGGGAGGTGGGGAAACCTGCCCATGACACGCTGCCTGCCCCACGTTCTGCCCCACAGAACCTGGACGGCACCGATGGGAGTGTGGGCAGAGGGTGAGCAGGCAGCCGAGAAAGCGCTTGCTGCCCCACACCTCCCCTGCGCCCAAGAGCAAACCCCCTCCGTCCCCCCCACCTCCACGCATCTGTTTTGGCTGAAACAGCTCTTTGCAGGAGGGGAGGAGGACACCAGGTTTTCAGCAGCACCCAGCCTGCCCCCCCCC